CTGCACCTCTTTTTCTACGAAATGATCCCTGGGCAGGGTATGAGCTTTCGTGAGTCACTGCTCAGAAGTGAGAAGTGACTCTCGAAAGCTAATACCCTGCCACAAATTCTGTGGACTGGACCTCTTGCCCTTTTCTACTGCCTAATTTGGTAATTATATATTGGAAATGTAAAAAAAAAGTTGGGACGTATTTTCATGTATGGTGGGTATGCGACATAGTTAAAAAATATTGGCTGATGATTCAAGAGATATTGCAAGAAATAACAGAGCTAAAAGTGCCGCTTAAGCCAGAATTATTTTTACTGAATATAATTCCAGATGTATATAAAAAGCCTGATAAGTATTTGATTTTACATGTCATAATGACAGCTAGAAATCTTGTTTGCTAAATATCGGAAATCAGAAAAAACTCTATTAATGGAAGAATTTGTACGGAATTTGCTAGAAATAGCCAAAAATGGATGTTAACAATATTGCTACAGGGGAAAGGGGAAGAAATATTCAAAAAATCTTGGACGAATGTATATAATGAAAAATAACGAAACATTGTAAGTAATTCTATATGAATTAAGGTAACTCTATTAATGGAAGAATTTGTACAGAAGTTGCTAGAAATAGCCAAAAATTGATAAGTTAACCATATTGCTACAGGGAAAGGGGGAAGAAATATTCAAGAAATCTTGGGCGAATGTATATAACGAAAAATAACAAAAAATTGTAAGTAATTCTATATGAATTAAGGTGTATGGCTAGGTAGGTTATAATAGATGGAAGATTCTCTTGTGATGAAGAAACGCTTTCAGCATATATTATGGATATTTGGAAAACTAAAAAAAAGAAAGAAAGCAGATGTTCCAAACTTGTATGTATAATTGACTATGGCCCAATTATTTAATTAATTTGCTGTATTTTAATCTCTGTATATCACTTTTACATTTATATGTAAACTGGGCGTTGTTGTCGACTGATCGGTTGGTCATAACAACGGTTGGCTGGTGAGTGGAAGAACGTGTGGGGTATATACAGATATATAATGTAGCCCATTTTGCCTCATGCACGCCAATTTAAAAACCCCAATCTTAAGCACATTTTGTTGGAATGAAATCGGACGGACTTCGGCAGAACCTTCTCTTCCCCCGGTCATAACAACGGTTGGCTGGTAAGTGGAAGAACGTGTGGGGTATACACAGATATAAATGTAGCCCATTTTGCCTCATGCATGCCAATTTAAATACCCCAATCTTGAGCACATTTTGTTGGAATGAAATCGGCCGGACTTCGGCAGAACCTTCTCTTCCCCCAAAACAGGGCTATTTTTGGGCAGGAACGCACAGGAACGGAGTTCCGGCTGGCTCCTGAGTTGGCCACGCCCAGCAGGAACTCATTAGCATAAGAGGCCACACCCAATAGCAGAAACTCATTAGGATTGGCTACATTAGGGGTGTGTGGTTCCTATTGGGTGTGGCCTATTATGCTAATGAGTTCCTGCTGGGCTTTTTCTACAAAAAGAGCCCTGTACCAAAAACAGTCTAAGGGTAGTGTTGATTCTGTCTCTTAAAAACATTACATCTGATCGAAGCATTCGCGCTGAAGAAGTGCCCAATGCAGAAAAGGGGAACTGCTGTGCTTTGCCCTACTAATAATACGCTTCTATCGTTCATAACAGTTCAATCAACGGTCAAAAGAGAACTCCGAAACCTTGCAAGGAGTTGAAATCAACCGTTCGAGGTTACGGGCACAGAACCGTGACCTTCAATGCAGACATCCTCGGCTACTTTAAGGGCATGTAAATAACTGAACCTTAAAATAACTCGTTCGCTACTGCAGCTTCCCTTCCCCAGGTTGAAACAGTCTTGACAACTGCCCTTTCCTGAAAGACCTGGGGATCTAAACTAGAGCATTCATAGGATTAAAATTCCCAGGTTTGGGGGCAAACCCAACTCCGGGCAGACGTGAGAACATAAGGAACATAAGAGAAACCATGTTGGGTCAGGCCAATGGCCCATCCAGTCTAACACTCTGTGTCAAACCCAGGTGCCATCAGGAGGTCCGCCAGTGGGGCCAGAACTCCAGAAGCCCTCCCACTGTTGCCTCCTCCCAAGCACCAGGAATACAGAGCATCAGTGCCCCAGACTCAGTGTCCCATCTCTATCTTGTAGCTAATAGCCACTGATGGACCTCTGCTCCGTATGTTTATCCACACATTATGACATTGGGAGCATATTCTGTATATCCCCCCACCCCGCACACAGGAAATCCCCCTCTCTTAGAATTGTCAGAATAAAGGTGATACAATGTGCCTTGACACCAGGGGGCGCTACATTTCTCCTTGTGCTAGAGCCAGACTGGGTATATTTGGGATGCCTCTCTTTGTCTATTCCAGAAGCTTCTCCACGATTCCCACTTCTCTTTCTCTGCCTTTGTTCTCTCTCTGAGTGGTCTGGGTGAGAGGCGAGATGCTTCTGCAGATCTCAGCTCTGCGGAAAAAAGCCAGGGGCCATGCTCAAGATCTCATTCTTCCACCTGCTTGCAGCCAGAATAGCTGGCCTCTTGGAAACAGTGCCGTTTAGGCTAGCCTTCTGTTTCATCTTCTACGTATAAATGTGAATCAGCTTCAATAAAAGTTCTCCCCCCCCCCACCAGTTGCAATATACTGGCCTGAAGAGATTTTTAATGCATATGTTTCCACATTTTCCTGACTGTGCAACTTTGCTCCATGCTCAGGGGCAGAGCATCTGCTTGGCACATGGAAGGCCCCAGGTTCAATCCCCAGCATCTCCGGTTAAAAGGACCAGGCAGGAGGTGATGTGGAAGACCTCAGCCTGAGACCCTGGAGAGCTGCTGCCAGTCTGAGTAGACAAGACTGACCTCGATGGAACGAGGGTCTGGTTCTGTATCGGGCAATTTCATGTGTGTTCATGCCAAGCCCATTTGTAATTAATTTCATATACCAAACAGGAATATGAATTACATATACCGAACAGGAACGAACGACGGTCATTGCAACGCAAACCTAAGTTTGCAGTTGCCAGCCGGAGGGCACGTTCCTAGAAGTGAGTCTCACTGAACAACATGAGGCTTGCTTCTGAGTAGACCTGCTCCTGCCATTGCCTGCAGGCCTGTTTCTAACCAAGGCTGCAGAACTCTGGCTTGGAGCCAGCTTCAACGATGCTGGTAGTACAGACATGACACTTTCCAGAGCACCCAAGCTGAAAGAGGAACAGCCCGTCATTGTGATGTAAAATGATTTTTATCGGTGGCAGAAAGCACCGTCCAGTCGCACCTACAGGGTTTTTCAAGGCAAGAGGCGTTCAGAGGCAGTTCGCCATTCCCGGCCTCTGCGGAGAGACCCTGGACTTCCTCGGTGGTCTCCCATCCAAGTACTCACCAGGGCCGACCCTGCTTAGCTTCCAAGATCTGGTGAGATCAGGCTAGCCTTGGGTCTCCAACTCAGGGCAAAAGACGATCAGACGTAGTTCGCCATTCCCTGCCTCTGCAGAGTGACCCTGGACTTCCTCGGTGGTCTCCCATGCAAGCAGAGGTCGTTTCCTGCAGGAGCGCACAGGAGCGGAGCTCCGGCAGTAAAGAGCCCAGGGGGCGGGCACATGCAACAAGCCCCGCCCCCTACTCCCAGCAGCCCTCAGTCAGAGCAAGAAGCAGCCAGGTAAGTTGCAGAGCTCCCCCCAGTTCAAAACAGTCCAGTGGCATCTTTAAAACCAAGTTTTATTCAGGTACAAGCTCTACCTCCTCTGCAAGGACAGATCTGCACGTCCCCCCCCAAAAAAAATAGCTAGCAATCCAAAACAGTCCAGTGGAGCCTGAGCAGTGGGTGTTGCCTTCTGACACACTTCCGGTGATGTCAGGGGGTGTGGCGTATGCAAATAAGCTATGCTAATGAGTTCCTGCTGGGCTTTTTCTACAAAAAGAGCCCTGCATGCAAGTATGCACCAGGGCAGACCCTGCTTGGCTTCTGAGATCTGATAAGTTCAGGCTAGCCTGGGCCATCCAGGTCAGGGCGGAACTCAGGTCAAGGCAAGAGACGTTCAGAGGTGGTTCGCCGTCGCCTGCCTCTGCGGAGCGACCCTGGGACTTCTCCGGTGGTCTCCCATCCAAGTACTAACCAAGGCTGACCCCTGCTTGGCTTCTGAGACTCGCCAAGATCGGGCTAGCCTGGGCTACCCTTTTTTACTACTTGATAATAAAAAGATTTCTCTTGCTCAAGGCAGTAAGCAAGACATCAAACTTCCACGGGCCGAGTTTTAAACTAAGTTCGCAATTCACGGCACTCGCAGGAATCCGCAGGAGCCCTGATACGAGTGGGGAAAGGAGGTTTTAAAAACTGCTGGTTCTGTGGAATGAGGCAGATCACGAGAGGGAGGGCAGGAAGGGTCGCCTCCGTGCTTAGGTCTCGTGGCCCTTTCTGACACGCCCAGGGAAATGCCGGTCGCCACTTTGGGGGTCAGGAAGCCATTTTTCTCCAGGCCAGTTTGGACAGGGATCCTGGAGGGGTTTTTTTTGTCATCTTCTGGGCATGGAACAGCGGTCACTGGGTGTGTGTGTGTGGGGGTATTTGTGAATTTCCTGCATTGTGCTGGGGGTTGGACTAGATGACCCTGGAGGTCCCCTTCCGACTCTATGATTCTATGAACTGCTGGGACAGCTGCTGACAATTCCAGATCCAGTCCCAGGCATCTCTCACCAAATGGACCTCCCGCAGGTGAGCTGACCGCTCTCTGCGACCTCGCACAGCCAATGCCAGTCAGAAGAAATTCTAAGAGGCCAAAACCAACGAATGGGCTCCATATAGGGCAACTTCAAATGTTTCCCTAAATACCAACGTCCTAATTAAACGTAGAGCTGGATTATTATTATTTTTTGGCCAACGAACGATGCCCTTTATCCAACTTCCTGTCCGTGGCGGCATTTACTTACAAAATGCTGCTTCAGCTTCGACAAACATTTCTTCATGATTTTGTCGTGGTGCTCTTGAAACCTCAACAGCTTTGGGAAACCGGTTAAAAAAAAAAAAACCGAAAAAAAAAAAAAAGGAAAGGGGGGGGGAAGGGGGAGAGGGGAAAAAAGAGAACCACCCGAGAAATTGAAACAGCGAGACGTTCCCACAAAATCTGTTCACAGCTTTAAGGAAAACGTGTTCCCTTTCAGATATGTTCGTTCCACGCAACTATTAATGTTGAAAAAGAAAAAGCGCCCTGGCCGGTGTTTTAAAGATGGTATGTGGGGGTATGGGTGTGTAAAAGTGCTGTCGAATCACAGCCAACTTATGGAGGGGTTTCAAGGCATTCAGAGAGGGTTTGCCATTGCCTGCCTCTGCGCAGCAACCCTGGACTTCTTCGGTGGTCTCCCATCCAAGGTCTAACGTGGGCCGACCCTGCTCGGGTTCTGAGATGTGACGAGATCAGGCTAGCCCTGGCCAGGACACATAATGAACGGATGGCAGTCGAACTGGCAGGCTCGGAGTTGTAATCCATGTGTTTTGGGCCCTGGCAAAGTTATCTGCTCCTGCCAACCTAGCAGTTCGAAAGCAAGAAATTGCAAGTAGATAAATAGGTACCTCTTCGGTGGGAAGGTAACAGCGTTCCGTGCGCCTTGGTGTTTAGCCATGCCGGCCACAATACCACGGAACAGGAGGACGAGAGAGGTGACAGTGGCCCCCGGGATTCTCTCGTCTTCCAAGAGTGTGGCAAAGAGGATCCAGTGGCTCCATCCCCAAATCTCCAGGAGTCTCCCGACCTGGATTCAGTAACTTTACCTCCCCATCTCCTGCTAGGGTTGCCAGCCTCCGGGTGGGCCCTGGAGATCTCCCGATTTCACCACTGATCTCCAGCTGACAGAGACCAGCTCCCCTGAAGAAAACGGCTGATTCGAAGGGTGGACTCTATGGGGTTGTACTATGCTGAGGCCCAGGGGCAGATTAACCATTAAGCAGACTAAGCACGTGCTTAGGGCACCAGGGCCAAAGGGGGCACCACAAAGTTGGGGAAAGGGTGAAAAGTTTAGTTTGTACAGTATATTGTGTTGCCATATGAATACATTTTTGAATTGCTGCAACCTGCATTGTATATCTGGTCAGACAGGTCAACAACTAAAATGGACTGGGGGTCAGTGTGGAAAGGGGAGGGCACCAAGATGGGTCAGTGCTTAGGGCACCAGTGAGCCTTCATCCGCCCCCTGCTGAGGCCCCTCCCCTCCCGGAATCCCGCCCTCTCCCAGATCCACCCCCAAAGTCACCAGGTATTTTCCAACCCAGGGCTGGCGACCTTATCTCCTGCCGGGGAGGGGGGGGGCTAGCAACCCTAGTGAGGACATGGCAACCTTCGTTCTGCCTGAAAGTGTTCCAAGTCTAAGTTACCTAGTTTTGTAAGATATGCAAAAGAAAAAAAATCCTTGCTTTTAACAATTTTTTTTTAAACCAAATTAGGACTAATCGATGCGATGCTTGAGCTTGCAGTAGCTCCTGCAGAAATGCCGCACAGCGGCTCCTTGTCTGCAGACGTCACTGTCAGAACGAAGCTTTTTGCAAACCATTGCGAATGGCTCCAAGTACCTCTTTATGGGCTTATTACATTCAATGCAGAACTTTAAAGAAACCTCCTCCATGGAGTAAACAAAAAAAAAATGGCATCCTCTAGGTCACACTAACAGCTTCAAACAGCCCAACTATTACAAATACAACTCTGAACCGTCTGCAGCAGAATAAGACCTAGATTCAACTGAGCCATTTAAAAAAGATCTTAGGGATGCCGGGGGGGAAATGGGTGTGGGGTGGGGATGAAGCGCGTGCAATAGAGTTTCTGTAAAATGCTAGAGTGCCCACTGGTCTTTACCAGGCTCCGCCCCCAAACCCACCCACCCCCAGATCTGAAAATGGCATACCATGCATAGCATGCTTGGGTCCCGAGAGCAGTTTTACCAGGGCCCAGAAGGCATCTTCTTCGTTCATGTACATAAGGAGTAAAGCTGTGATCTGGCTCATCCCCTGACAATATCCAACCTCCTGAAAACACAGAAGACAAAACATTTAGGGTTTATTTCTTTTAAGCGAAGAATCCAAAAGTGGTTGTTTTGACAGTGCAAAAATGCCGTTCGAGATGTGGAAGAGCCGGGATCTGATCAAACAATAGCCCTTGTTCATATGCTACAGAGGACACATGGGACATCCTGCGTGTGCACGCATACGAGGAAGGAGCCAATGTGTGCTCACTTTACGAATGAATTCGGACACCAGGGCCTGGATGAACATGGGGGTTTGGTTCACATATTCAGTTGTGCATATATTCAATGTAACATGAGAATGCATGTACAAAAAAACAATCAAGAGCAACGGTCCAGTAGAACTTTAAAGACTAACAAAGTTTGTGGCAGGGAATGAGCTTTATCGTGAGTCACTGCTCAGAAGCGAAAGCTCATCCATCCCCTGTCACATATTTTGTTAGTCTTTAAGGTGGGCTTGAAGCTCAACATCAAAAAAACTAAGATCACGGCATCCGGCCCCATCACTCCTTGGCAAATAGAAGGGGAAGTCGTGGAAGTAGTGACAGACTTCACGTTCCTGGGATCCCAGATCACCGCAGACTGTGACAGCAGCCATGAAATTAAAAGACGCCTGCTCCTTGGGAGGAAAGCGATGGCGAACCTAAACAGCATGATAAAAAGTAGAGACATCACCCTGCCAACAAAAGTCTGCATGGTCAAAGCAATGGTATTCCCAGTAGTCCTGTATGACTGCGAGAGTTGGACGAAAAGGAAGGCCGCGCACCGAAGAATAGATTCTTTTGAACTATGGTGCTGGAGAAGACTCTTGAGAGTCCCTTGGACTGCAAGAAGAACAAATCAGTCAATCCTAAAAGAAATCAACCCTGACTGTTCCCTGGAAGGCCAGATAAATGAAACTGAAGCCCAAATACTTTGGCCACCCAATGAGAAGGGAGCACTCACTGGAGAAGACCCTGATGCTGGGAAAGACTGAAGGTCAAAGAAGACGGGGATGGCAAAGGATGAGATGGTTAGACAGTGTCATAGATGCAATGAACATGAAATTGAGCCAACTTCAGAGGACGGCGGAAGAGAAAAACAATCTCCTGGCGGGAGCTGGTCCATGGGGTCGCGAAGAGTCGGACTCGACTGTGCGACTGAACAAAAAGGTGCTACGGGGCTCTTGCTCTTTTCTGCTGCTACAGACAGTCTAACACGGCTACCCAACTTGATCTAAAGAACAATCAAGTGTACACTGCATTACAGATTGTACATGCGTTCACCATAACCTGTGAAGAGGGCCAGATGTTTAAGGTTAATGAACAATGCTTTCCCCTCCTTCCTTCCACTGCAGACTGGGACCACAACACGGGAGAGTGAAGGCGGATTAATTTCGTCCCACGTGCATTATTTTCCTTCAAGGTGTGAGCTTTCGTGTGCATGCGCACTTTTCCAAATGCCATTTGAAAAAGGTGTGCAGCATGCCCACGAAAGCTCATAAACACGGGAGAGTGAAGTTGGCCTTAAAGGTGCCACTGGACTCTAAATTTGTTCTACGGCTTCAGACCGACACGGATGACCACCTGGATCTACATTATTTTCCTGATATACATTGGCTTTTGTAAGCTGCTGCTGGTCTGGGAGGGGAAAGACAGGTACCCGTATTATACACGTCTTTCCCACTTGCCAGGGCAAATCCACCTAAAGAGATAATGTCTTTGCCAGAGACTGGGGGAAGCGTACAAGTTTCCAAAAGGAGGACTGGTTGGAAAGTAGGGAATTGTACGTTTATCTTAGGCTCACTGCTTTACCGAAAACACAAGATGCAAATGAACTCGATGCTTACAGGAGATGCTTTGGTAATTTCCAGGTTACAGCAGTAGAATACAGCAAAGTTTTAAAATCAGATGTACTTATGTAGATTTTTATCCCACCCTATGCCTGAGGCTCAAGGTAGGTAACAATTTGAAAACAAAATCCCAAAGAAGAGAAGGGTATTTCTAGAATGTTACAGAGACAAAAAGACAGATTTTCCCAGTGTAATAATTCATTATTAACTTTCCCCCCCAATTCCCCACTTCTCCCCTCTCCTTAACACTTTTGGAAACATTGGTTGTTCCCGATGAAAGGTACTGTATGTATTGCGTTCAGTTTTGGGCACCACAATTTAAGGAGGATATAGACAAGCTGGAACGTGTCCAGAGGAGGGCAACGAAGATGGTGAGAGCTCTGGAGACCAAGTCCTATGAGGAAAGGTTGAAGGAGCTGGGTATGTTTAGCCTGGAGAGGACATGACTGCGAAAGTGATATGATCACCATCTTCAAGTACTTGAAGGGCTGTCATATAGAGGATGGTGCGGAGTTGTTTTCTGTTGCCCCAGAAGGTGGGACCAGAACCAATGGGTTGAAATGAAATCAGAAGAGTTTTCGGCTGAACATTAGGAAGAACATCCCGACAGTTAGAGCAGTTCCTCAGTGGAACAGGCTTCCTCGGGAAGGTGGTGGGCGCTCCTCCTTTGGAGCTTTTCAAACAAGAGGCTAGATGGCCATCTGACAGCAATGCGGATTCTGTGAACTTAGGCAGATCATGAGAAGGGAGGGCAGGAAGGGTTGCCTCAGTGCTTAGTTCTCGTGGCCCTTTCTTACACGCCCAGGGAAATGCTGATCACCACTTCGGGGTCAGGAAGCCATTTTTCTCCAGGCCAGTTTGGCCGGGGATCCTGGAGGTTTTTTGGTCATCTTCTGGGTGTGGAACAGCGGTCACTGGGGGTGTGTGTGGGGGGAGGTATTTGTGAATTTCCTGCATTGTGCAGAGGGTTGCACTAGATGACCCAACTCTATGATTCTATGACACTGTGACCCCCCCTCCTTCCAGCAAGTTTCAAAAAAGTAATGGACTTAGATTTTATTTTTAAAGTTTGGGCAGTGTCTTGTCAAGAATCAATAGCGCTCTTCCTTATGACAGTGAGTCACTCTTCTCTTGCTTACATTCACTCTTTTCATTCAGCGTTTAGCTTTTCTATCAATGCCGTCACCTTTGATTTTAAGAGTAAGCTTAAGATATAAGCAGAATAGTATATCGGGTGGTGACTTACCGTGTTATATATAGAGTAAGCAGCTAAAACGTGGAATAAGGATTGTTGCCTAGAAAGAAGCAAAGACAAATGTAAATAAGCCAAAATGGACTTTTCTCCAAGCTAAAGAGCCCTAAGCGCTTTAACCTTTCCTCATAGGGAAAGTGTTCCAACCCTTTTATCACTCTTGCTTACATTCACTCTTTTCATTCAGCGTTTAGCTTTTCTATCAATGCCGTCACCTTCGATTTTAAGAGTAAGCTTAAGATATAAGCAGAATAGTATATCGGGTGGTGACTTACCGTGCTATATATAGAGTAAGCAGCTAAAACATGGAATAAGGATTGTTGCCTAGAAAGAAGCAAAGACAAATGTAAATAAGCCAAAATGGATACAAATGGGCTGTTGAATTGGATTTGGGGTAGGAATTTCACCAACTGCACATTTGGAAATAAAGGAGTCAATATATTATGGTGCACCACCTCCAGGCTTTGACAGGGATCCCACCTTATGATTAGGGTTGCCAACCTCCAGGGGGCAGCTGGAGATCTCCTGGGATTACAACTGATCTCCAGGCGACAGAAATCAGTTCACCTGGAGAAAATGGCGGCTTTGGAAGGTAGACTCCTATGGCAAGATACCCCATTGAAGTCCATCCCCTCCCGAAACCCCGCCCTCCTCAGCCCCCCCCCAAATCTCCAGGTATTTCTCAACCCAGAGCTGGCAACCCTAATGACAAATGAGCTATGTAGTTTTTTGGGTCACTGTCATGCGTTCAGATTATGACTTGCGGGACAGCAGACACAGAATAGTCATTAGGAAGTTGAACTACTATCTTACTTTGCTTCTGGGGGGGGGAGGAAGTATAGTTGGCCTGTGTTTTTTTCAAAACATATTAGCACCAATCATCGTTCCCTCTAAGCTGAGTTAGTGTGAGCTAGCTCACAGTTTTTTAGCTTCCAGCTCACACATTTTTGTCTTCGCTCAGGAAGGATGGCTCCAGAGCAGTGTTCCCTCTAAGCTGAGTTAGTGTGAGCTAGCTCACAGTTTTTTAGCTTCCAGCTCACACATTTTTGTCTTCGCTCAGGAAGGATGGCTCCAGAGCCAACTAATTGATGCAGCAGCCAAATAACTCACTCACAAGACTCCACAGCTTAGAGGGAGCATTGGAGCCAATGGGAATAAAAAAACCTTTGAACGTGACAAAAAGAAGTAGAATTCATTGCTCTTGTTGCTGTTCAGCCAGCACAGACCAACTTCAGAAGGGAGCACAAAGGCCGATTGCAAAGGGAACCCTGGTTGGAAAAGTAAATGAGGAGGTGGGCTGAAAGCTTCCATTCACAACTGTTTAGTGCCTCCTTTCAGAAGTGACATTATGCATTTTTAAATAAGGCAAAAGAAATACTTCGTTAATATGAGGTCATCGTTCTGAAACAAAGAGGAGCATTCAGAACACATGGTAACTTTCACGTGAACACATACATTTATGACATACAAACAACTAAGGGAGAAAAAGAAATTCACACAAAAGGGTGGAGACTACGGGGTGTGCATTCGGTATATACCAAGCCGATCTAGCTACTGATCTAGCTGAGCCTGAGTAAACGCCGATATTATTCGGCTTTCATTTGAGCTCGACTTGGAGAAGGTGTTTAGAGACACCCTGGTCTCTTTAAATGCCTTGAGTTCACTCACCGACGATGACGGCATGTCTTGGAGTAGGCACTTAAAGAGACAGCAGCCTCTTTGAATACCTTCTGAGTTCACTCGCCGAGTTGTGCTGCAGCAGTGGCTGCAGCAGCACAGCTTGGATAAGGCATTTACCTTAAATGCTTTTTCTAAGCTGCACTGTGGTGACGGAACTTGGCAAATGCCTGAGGTCTCTTTAGATGCCTCTGTTTTTCCTCCATTAAAAGCAATGGTGGGTGGGGGCACCTTCTTTGAAGCCCAAAGAATTGGATCCTCTGGTCCAATCTTTTTAAAACTTGGGGGGGGCGGGGTGTTTGAGGAGAGACACCGGTAGCTATTCTGCAAATTTGGTGCCTATACCTAAAAAAAAAATCCATTCCTCTCACAGCTGCGAATACCCCTGGATCAATTCTCCATTATACCCTATGGTCACGGTTCCCATAGCGTATAATGGAGCTTAATAAATTTGGGTTCCCCAAATATTTACCTGAATCCCAATACCATACCGATATTTGGGATTCGGGGAAAACGGGAAACACCGATATTTTTGGGGTCCAATAGACCCGAATCTGAATAATATCGATTTTTTTCCCCTGCACACCCCTAATGGAGACCCTTTATTACATACTGGAACAAAATCAAACCAGAAGAAAATGTGAAATGGGGTGTGTTTTGTTTAACAATTTGTGTGAAACTGATGTATAAGAGAGCAGCATGGTCAGAGATTTGTAGATTACTGTATAGTTGAGGGGCCTTTTTTTGCGTTTTTTTTCTTTTTCAAATATACTACATGTCTCTGGGGAAAACGCTTATTATGCTGCACATATTATATAAAATTAAAAAATATTAACACATGAAGCACTATATGCACTGGTTTAATTAAGAATAAATTAGATTTGAAACTCATTGCTCATGTTCTCCTCAGGGAAGCCATAAAGGATTTCATAAGGAAAACTATCTTCATTTAGGCAGAAATTACTTTTATGCACCATCGTATGCACAGAATTCCTTTACTGACAAGTCTGAGAAAACGCTTAATCAAAAATGACTTGCGTGGCAGACTTTTAAAATACCCTCAAATGCCTCTGAGCCCCTCCATACAGGTTGTACATGTCAGATATGATCTATGTTTAATATTAACCTGTCACGTCACTTTGACAACTGGTCAAATTTATATCTTAACATGCCCTGAGTTCAAGGTATCAGGAACTGACTTTAAGTCGTTGGAATCCAGCTATGACAGGAATCCTGAATTTAGGAACTTGGGAGTCGGAAATCTGTGTGTCTAAAAGGGCTGTTGCAAGATTGCCCCCCGGCTAAGCCAGCATTGCGGTATACTTTTATGGCTCCAGAGGCCCCCAGTAGGGTTGCTAGTGTTCCCTCTAAGCTGAGTTAGTGTGAGCTAGCTCACAGGTTTTTAGCCTCCAGCTCACACATTTTTGTGTTAGCTCAGGAAGGAGGGCTCCAGAGCAAACTAATTTGTACAGTTGCTCGCTCACAGCTTTAATGCCAGTAGCTCCCAAAGTAGAATGTTTGCTCACAAGGCTCCACAGCTTAGAGGGAGCGTTGTTGGGTCATCCTGGCCAGCGTCAGGGGGTGGGAGGTAGGGTTGCCAGATCCAGGTTGGGAAACTCTTGGGAGTTTTGGGGATTGACCCTGGAGATGACAGGGGCCTCAGTGGAGTACAATGCCTCCAAAGTCCACCTTCCAAAGTATCCCTTTTCTCCAGGAACACTGATCTCTGTAGTTTGGAAATGGGCTGTAATTCCAGGGGATCCCTGGGCCCCACCTGGAGCCAATGTTCCCTCTAAGCTGTGGAGTACTGTGAGCAAAAATTCTTACTTTGTGAGCCACTGGCATTAAAGTTGTGAGCGAGCGATTTGGCTGCTGCAGAAATTAGTTTGCTCTGGAGCCCTCCTCCCTGAGCTAAGACAAAAATGGGTGAGCCAGAGGCTAAAAAACTGTGAGCTAGCTCACACTAACTCAGCTTAGAGGGAACACTGATCCCTAGCACCCAGAGCAAATGGCTGGGTCATTTTGCGCAAAATCTGTAAAACAAATAGCTGATCTTTACTTCACTTCTATTTTTCAACACAGATCGGTCTCCATGTCTGTAGCGGGGCTGCTATAGCAAGAGACCTCCCACTGGCAGCCCTTGTCGCTCACCAACACTCCAAGCAGTAGTGGGATAATCACAACAAAAACAAGAACAACAACAACAACAAGAAAGTCAGTGTCCTTGCTGCTGCCACATCACTTCTGGGGAACACCCAGAAGCAGGGCTATTTTTGGGCAGGAACGCACAGGAACGGAGTTCCGGCTGGCTCCCAAGTTGGCCACGCCCAGCAGGAACTCATTAGCATAATAGGCCACACCCAACAGCAGAAACTCATTAGGATTGGCTACATTAGGGGTGTGTGGCCTAACATGCAAAGGAGTTCCTGCTACAAAAAAGCCCTGGGTTTGGACAACAAACAAGGTAAACAGAACAACAAGCAAAAGGTGGGTGTGGCTGGATAACCACACTTCTGGTAACATGGGGGTGCGGCCTAATGTGCTAATGAGCTGTGCTGTCAGGGGTGTGGCCTAATATGCTAATGAGTTTCTGGTGTTGGCTGTGGCCTATTATGCTAATGAGTTCCTGCTGGGCTTTTTCTACAAAAAGAGCCCTGCGGAGGGTAGCATTCAGAATCACCAGAAACTATTTGGTAAAACCATAAAGTTTCCAGCGATTCCAAGAGCTACCCTACATTGCTTCTGGGTTTTCCCTGGGAAATGATGTGGCAGTGGAAAGGACTTTGCAGCGCCTTTGTGTCCCTCCCTCCCCATAACCCTCCAACCGCTTGCCAGGCATGGCCAATCTAGTGTGTGGGCATGGCTGATCTTCCAGAGGAGGAAATCTGGTGATGGGCCAGACCACGAGTGAATGAGTTCCCAACAACATTTGAAAATGAAATCGTATTATAATGAAATAGTGGGTTTTTGAGCTGATGTGAACCACTTGGAGGACCGCTGCGTGGAACGAGGGGCGCTAGAAAGTCATCAGATGAATAAATAAATATTTACTGCTTTTCTTCAACATGCAAATCAAAATAACTAATGATAACTTATGGCCCTCTGACCTTTCAGAGAGTCAAATGCATTTCTATGCATAAATTTGCTGTTACAGGAACACAACAGGCCAAAAGCATGCGGGGAATGGAATTCTAGAAGCAGTCTCAATTATTTACAGACACACACACACACAATATGTACTGCTGTTTTTTGCAATCGGCAGGAGAGAGCGTTAGCTCAGAATCTTTCAAAGTCTGAAATACGAGCTGTGCCCGTTTGAAACCCTGGAGATCAAACAGGTTAAGAAACACTGGAGAAATATTTACTTACTTCACTCCATATCGATCTCTAAACATGATATGATCCCGATATGTCCGATTGACATCTAGATCGATTTGCCTGATGTCCGGGGAGCTCATTCTGGCTTGGGTTTTTAAGGTCTAGGGGACAGAAAGAATTCAACACATGTTTATGTGAAGCAAACCACTGATGTATAAATCCGATGGAGCGTGCATGCACACAGAAGCTTACACCCAGAATTAAACTCTGCTGGTTTTAAAGATGCCACTGAACCCACAGTTTGTTATATAAATCTGTACACAATCATAATGGCAGCCTAGTTTTCATCCAGAGGGAAAACCCACACTTAGGATATGCATCAATGGTTCCCAAACCAGGCAGTACTGCCCCATGGGGGTAGTGGGATTACCTGGGGAGCGCTAAGAGGCAAGGGGATGGAATTGGAGGTGGGCCTCTTCAACTGCATTGGCTACTTATTTATGATTGGCCAGGTTATGGCACCATGCTGGCCAATGGCACTCCGAGTTTCTGCCCCTGCATAGTGTTGAAGATTGGTGGAAACTACTGGAAATTTTAGTATGTATTACACCAGAGCTCAAGCCGGACCACTAGACTGCATTTTAAGAAACCGTTCCCCACTGTGTATGTTTTCATCTTAGTCATTTTTGAAGTTTTTGCTGGTAAATCCTCAACATAATAGCATTGACTATGGTATTTGTTTTCCTGTGTTCTCAGTTAACAGGTGGAATTCACCGCTGCAGGCAGTGGCGGCAGCTACAAGCATAGGTAGCGTCAAGAGGGGATTAGAGAAACGTAAGGAGCAGAGGTCCATCAGTGGCTATTAGCCACAAGGTATAGATGGAGCACTACGTCCAGGGCAGTGTTCTTGGTCCTTGCGGGGACACCAGTGAGAGGGGCTTCTGGAGTTCTGGGCCCGCTGGTGGACCTCCTGATGGCACCTGGTATTTTTGGCCACTGTGTGACACAGAGCGTTGGACTGGACAGGCCATTGGCCTGATCTAGCATTGGCTTCTCTTATGTTCTTAATGAACCTGTTGATTATGAAGTTTACTTTTTAACTATATGTGTTCTTTTTGTCGCAGCCTGCCCAATGGTCATATTTGTAGGTTATATAAGGATTTTAAATTTCTCAATAACTGTTTTCAAAAAGGAACCAACAAGAAAAAAATTGGGGTTGTAGAAGGGAAAAAAATTAAGGAAAATTTAGGGTATAAATAATTAAATTTCTGGCAACAAAAGAAAAAAATCATCGTAAATAAATATAAGTATTGGGGGGAAATTGGGTATCTTTTTGGCAAAAAAACCTATATTTTAAGACAAACTTTTATAAACAGAACAAAGTTTGAGTCCAGGGGCACCTTTAAGACCAACAAAGTTTAATTCTGGCTATAAGCTTCTGTATGCATGCACACTTCTTCAGATAGAAGTCTATATACACGTGAAAGCTCATACCCAGAATTAAAAACTTTGTTGGTCTTAAAAGTGCCCCTGGACTCAAACTTTGCTCTATTGCTTCAGACCCACACGGCTTCCCACCTGAATCTTTTAGAAAGAAAATATATTGCCTTTATTCAGAATTGCAGTAATAAAATGAAGACGGGATGCTTTGGCACAATACCGCTTCTTTGGTGCTGAAACATTAGAGGAGGAAAGGTAATCAGGGTAATGCCGCTTCTGTATGCATGCACACTTCTTCAGATAGAAGTCTATATACACGTGAAAGCTCATACCCAGAATTAAAAACTTTGTTGGTCTTAAAAGTGCCCCTGGACTCAAACTTTGCTCTATTGCTTCAGACCCACACGGCTTCCCACCTGAATCTTTTAGAAAGAAAATATATTGCCTTTATTCAGAATTGCAGTAATAAAATGAAGACGAGATGCTTTGGCACAATACCGCATAACATCAGAGGAGGAAAGGTAATCAGGGTAATGCCGATCACCACTTTGGGGTCAGGAAGGGATTTTCCTCCAGGCCAGCTTAGCCCAGGGATCCTGGATGTTTTTTGCCTTCCTCTGGGGCATAGACAGGGATCACAGGGGAAGAGGTAGCTATTAATTCCCTGCCTTGTGCGGGGGGTTGAACTAGGTGACCCTTGAGGTCCCTTACAGCTCTATGTTTCTATGAAGAGCAATTTTTGTGGGATGCAAGGAGTGTTCGCTCTAAGCTGAGTGAGTGTGAGCCGGCTCACAGTTTTTAGCCTCCAACTCTCAGATTTTTGTCTTGGCTCAGGAAGGATGGCTCCAGATCAAACTAATTTATGCCGTAGCCAAATCACTCACTCACAGCTTTAATGCCAGTAGCTCACAAAGTGGAATTTTTGCTCACAAGACTCCACGGCTTAGAGGAAGCATTCGATGCAAGGCCAGTTCCGGGACAGGGGAAGCTCAAACCAAGAGATCCATCAGTTGGATTTCCCACATTCCTTAACAGCAAGACGGCAGAACGTTCTAATCATACCAGACCTTCATCTTGGATGGAATCCTCTGATCATGAGAGGACTTTAGGGAGGTTGATATTGGAGAGGAGGAGGAGGAGGAGGAGATTGGATTTATACCCCACCCTTCACTTTCATGAGCAACTGCTCACTTCTTCATATATTTGAATGACTGCTGAAGATACCTGAAGAGGTGAGCGGTGACTCACAAAAGCTCCTCCCCTGCCACAAATTCTGTTAGTCTTTAAGGTGCCAACTGGACTCTTGCTCTTTTCTACTGCTGCAGACAGACGGACAGGGGTGACTTATCTTGATCTATCTACACAGGCCTGCATTTATATTATGGGTATACCGAAGTTCCTATTAGATTGCCTGAACAGTTTAGTCTAATTGCCGGCTGGAGTTTTGGCTAGAAGCACAGACTTGACTCTCAAGAATTCCCAAGACATTTTTTTTTAAAGCCTTCATAGAGAATTGCTTCTTTATACCCTGGTGGGCCTATTCCTTTTTCCTGCACATATCACTAGGTGGCATCCATAACCTTTGGAGATGCAGCCACTTCGCTTTAATCTGTTTCTGTTCAGTATTTCATAGTTCGGCTCATCACCGTTTTGGTTAAGAGTGTCTGTTGGTCATTAGAGAAAGTAAGTGCAGGGGGAAGCGGTTAGTGTCGGATTAGGGTGGAGGTGACTGGGGTTTAAATCCCTGCTCTGCCACAGACCTCCATAGGTACCTTAGGCCAGCCAGTGTCTCTCAGCCTAGCCTACCTCACAGGACAGTTGTAAGGAGGGAAGAACCGATGTAAAACCTCCTTGTAAGAAAGGAGGGATCAAATGTGGATTTTTATTTTTTTTTAAATCATGGATTTTCAAAGGTTCTTGCAAACCAAACTACTGAACATTGTTATCATAATCTTCCTGATTCTTCTATTCGTGGATGTCAGAGGCATTGCCTTCGAAGGCTTTAATTGTCACTGCAAGGTTAAAAGCAACGGTCATGGTGCATAATGAAATTAACCCGCAGACAGAGCTTGCAAAATCTGTCACCCGGTTTTTTTTTCCCCATGCAGCATTCGACATAGCAGCTAAAGGTTTGTAACTGTGAAATCCTTTATGATTTAATTTGATTTACAAACTGTAAATTGAGAGCCGGGAAATGAAGCGCCCAATCGTTTATTAATTGTCCGACCACCTCTTTTGCAAATGTCATGCATTTGGCACGAACGTCTCGAGTGAAATATATCTCTGTTACGGGGCAGCCGAGGTTTTATTTCTATTTGTATGCAGCTCAGTACGATACCAGGAGCTACACAGGAGGTGTTTGACTGATGGCTTGACTATCTCTTATTTAATGAAAAGTGGCTGGGGGAAGGGGGGCCCACTTTAAATCTTTACACGCCTGACAGTTTTCCGCTCAAAACTGACTCCCTCACAGGAAGCTGCCTTATACTGAATCAGGCCATTAGTCCATCAAGGTCAGTTGTGCCCGAGGCACTTCCACTGAGCCACAGTCCTTCCGCAAATTGCTTTTCCAGCTGTGTGGGGAAAAGACAGGGGTATTCTCTCCTTGTGGTCATCTATATACTAATAGCCAAGAGGCCCCCTCCATTCGGATATCTAAATCCGCACATCGGGGGCACTTGGGGGGCAGAGAGATTTTCCTGCACACTTGGGGCAGTCCCCAGGTGTGCAGAAAAATCTGAAACTATACGGGCTGGCCCAGCGGGAGCCGCATGGGCCTCGCCGTTGGTGTGGGAGGGGGGAGGCTTGGACTGGCTGGGAGCCACGTGGGCCTTGCCATTGGTGCTGGGGGGGAGAATTGGAGGGCCCGGACCTCGGCATTGGGGCGTCGGGCGAGGGAGGGGGGGGAAGGCTTGCCTGTGGCTGCTTCCTCCTCCATGTGGAGCTCCTTCGCCCCCCACGAATATCGCGGGTCCCCACTTTTTGTTCTACATAATGTTAGGTCTAGGGGTGCTGGCATGAGGGTGGCGACAGGGCAGGAGACTTGCCGTTGGGGGGAGCCATCACTGGTGGTGTAACAACATCAATCATGACATGCTGATGTTCAGGCTGTGCCTGAAGTGACATATTGACATCACCGGTGATGTTCTAGCACTTGGCAAAAACCACAGAGTTTCTGACTGAATGCTGGGGTGTCACCGGCGACATAATGACGTTACTTCTGGTCATGCCAGAATGTTAAAGCGAGTATCGTAAAGCACTTCTCAGGCACAGGAGAATGTTAACCCAGTTTAAAAGAACTGTCCCTGATTAAAATCCCAGGGTTGGGCCCAGGCGAGCCTCAAAGGGAAGGGCATTCTGCAGGCAAGGTGTCATCACTGAAAAGGCACTGTCCCTGGTCATAAGAACATAAGAACATAAGAGATGCCAATGTTGGATCAGGCCAAAGGCCCATCCAGCCCAACACTCTGTGACACACAGTGGCCAGAAATACCAGTGCCATCAGGAGGTCCACCAGTGGAGCCAGGACATTAGAAGCCCTCTCACTGTTGACCCCCCCCCAAGCACCAAGAAGACAGAGCATCACTTGCCCCAGAGTCCCTATCTATACCTTGTGGCTAATAGCCACTGATGGACCTCTCCTCCATATGCTTATCTAATTCCCTCTTGAAGCTGTCCATGCTTGTAGCCGCCACCACTTCCTGTGGCAGTGAATTCCATGTGTTAATCATTCTTTGGGTGAAGAAGGACTTCCTTTTATCCGTTCTAACCCGACCGCTCAGCAATTTCATGGAGTGCCCACGAGTTCTTGTATTGTGAGAAAGGGAGAAAAGTACCTCTTTCTCTACCTGCTCTTTCCCATGCATAATCTTATAAACCTCAATCATGTCACCCCTCAGTCGTCGTTTCTCCAAGCTAAAGAGCCCTAAGCGCCTTAACCTTTCCTCATAGGGAAAGTGTTCCAACCCCTTTATTTCATGTCTGAAGGCAGGGCTATCAAGAGGAGGGGCTGTGACAGAGATATTTATTTATTTACTTCACTTATAACCTGCCTTTCTCCACAGCGGAGAACCAAATCGGCTTACGTTGTTCTCTTCTTCTCCGCTTTATCCTCACAAGAACCCCGTGAGGCAAGTTCGGCTATCTGTGACTGACTCATAGTCATCCAGGAAGGTTCCAGGGCACAGCAGGGATTTAAACCTGTCTCCCAAATCCTAGGCCTACGCTCCAATCACTACACCATAGAGTCTCACAGACCACACTGGTGGGCTGGACAGTGTGAGAAGAGGCAGCCCTCCAAGGACCCTGGCCTCCAGCCATGTAGGGCCTTAAACATGAGAACCAGCACTTCAAACTGGGCCCAGAAATAGAGGGCCGAAGCCAGCGATATAAATCCACAGTGGAGACTTGCAAGGGCAGGAGAAATTGAGGAGTGGGTCACTGAAACAACCCCCGCGCATAAACACACGCATGGAATCAAAAAGAGTAATTTCTATTCAGATTTTCTTCAAACTAGAAATGCGCCGTTTTGGAGAGGGAAAGGAAAAAAACCAGGGCACGAAGGATAACAAAAACGGGTAAAAACATGCAAAAAGGCAATGAATTTCTTTTAAGCTTTTTTTATATATATAAAAAACTATTATTTTTTTATTCCTTTTGGTATACAGCGGAAAATTTAAGCTCTCTGTTTTCTGGTTTTCAGATATCCAAGCCGACGGCTCGTTTCCTATCTCGAAAACTCACATTATAGTAGTCCTTCATTTCTTCTTTCATTTTAGGAACGTCGAGCAACAAAGACCAAATTTCACCTCTCAGCTGCAGCGGGATTCCTTTATAAATTCTCCTATGAAACTGGAAAGGGGGGGAGGGAAGAGATGAAAATAGATTAATTTTAGCAGAAAGCAAACCAGAAAAGATACCATGTGACTGCCCTGCCATTTCTACAGACCAGGGGCTGTAACCTGGGAAAGGAAAGACATCGCATTAATTGCCTAGGCAGAAAGAAATGTGAGGAATGAAAATTTCAGAAATAGTGGATGACTACGGATGAAGGTTAAAGCAGAAAGTACCAAAGCAGGATTGTGGCTGAACATCCGGAAGACAAAAATAATGACTACTGGGGAATTACACGACTTTAAGGCTGACGACGAAGAAACTGAAATTGTTCCAAGATTTTCTATTCCTTGGCTCCATCATCAACCAAAAGCGAGACAGCAACCCAGAAATCAGAAAGAGGCTGAGACTGGGAAGGGCAGCCCTGAAGGAACTAGAAAAGATTCTTCTTGTTTTTAAAAAAGAAGTTTTATTAGTTTATATAAAGAAAGAGGGAAAGGGGGGGGGAAGGGGAGAAAAGAAAATGAACAGAAATATACAAAATTCCAATTTGCATGCATATCTTCTCACTGCAATTCCACAACTATTTCATCTATCATTCTTATTATTCTTCCCTTAATCTTATTCTCTCAGTACTTGAGTTTTAAACAGTCATAATAAAACGCCTTCCCAGGTCCCATAAATTCTTCTTCTATTTTTCCTCTTAATATGTTTGTCTTAAGTGTAAGGATGTCCCACTGGTCTCCAAGATAACCAAAGTTTGTGAACTGAAGAGCCACCACGAACCTCCACAAATTTTAAGGCAGTTCATGGCAGTTCGTGAAGAGCGGAAAGCAGGGAGTTATCTGAAGAAGTGAGCAGGGACTCACAAAAGCTCCTACCCAGCCACAAATTTTGTTCGTCTTTAAGGCGCGACTGGACTCTTGCTCTTTTCTACTGTATTTTCATGCCACCCTTCCTCCACAGACCTCTGGGCAGTATATATGGCTCCCTCTTACTCCATTTTATCCCCACAACGACCCTGTGAGGTAGATCAGGTACAGAGAAGGTATCCCAAAATCATACAGAAACCCACACGGGGTGGGGGGGGGGATTTGAACCTGGTGCTCTCTGGTGCTGGACTGACAGTATAGCTGTCACACCAACTCTACAAATGAAGGAAAGGAATCTATTAAGGGGTGAGTTATGTGTCCTGAATTCGCATTGAGAAGATTCTGACAAAGCTGAAGAGTGTTGAGACAGCAGAAGACAAGTCGCGTCTCCGGAATCTCCCACAGCTTTGCAGACTTTCCCAAAAGCGGCTGACACTCAGATCTAATTGTTCTGAAAAACCAGGAAGACCTTCTCGTTCCAGACTGATGCTACAAGATTCTGGCTAAAAAAAATAAAAATAAAACATTGAACTAGATTAGGATCCCCTATTGTCTGCCTCAGATTTTCAGAGGCACGGAAAATCCTATAAGCTGCCAAAATAGTAAGAGAGATATCTCCTTTGAGGGGGGGGGGGAGAAATCGTTTATGTCACTGGCTTAGCAATACAAGTGAAAGCATGAACTGAATGCATTGGTGAAAAATCTTTTTGTTTGGTTTAGTTTTGGAGCCTGAATGGAAAAGGAGAGAGGCAATTTAAAGGCAGTTAACTAAGCCAGAGACAGTTTTATTTATTCAAAACACTTCTATGCTGCCGTTCTACCCAATTCAGGGTCCACAAGGCGACGAACATTTATATAGAAGAAGAAGAGATTGGATTTATACCCTTCCCTTCATCCAGAGTCTCAGAGCGGCTTACAATCTCCTTCCCTTCCTCTCCTCACAACAGATACCCTGTGAGGTAGGCGGGGCTGAGAGAGCTCTGAGAGAACTGCTCTTGAGAGAACAGCTCTGAGAGAACTTGTGACTGACCCAAGGTCACTCCAGCAGCTGCAAGTGGAGGAGTGGGGAATCAAACCCAGTTCTCCCAGATCAGAATCCATGCTCTTAGCCACTACACCAAACAACAACTAAACATACTATACACACATTAAAGCGTTTGAAACAGGAGGAGGCCTAGTAACAGTCAGTGAGGGAAATGCCAAACAAAACAAAAAAATTGATACCTGCTAGCACAAGGGCCCACCACAGGTTTCTTGGTGCCCACCAAAGGTTTTTAGAAAGTGGGGTGGGCTTTTACTTAGCAAGGCTTCTGATTGACTGCTGGAAGTTTGATTGGCTGTGTGGATTTTAAAAAAAAATTTTTTTGCTTTGGCAACAGCTGCCACCACAGAACAAGGATCTTCACTGTGTGGCTGAAGGTTGTTGCAGAATTAGGGCCTGGACTGAGCCTCAGTTCCCTGCTAAACCTGATACTTCAATTTCTGTGGTAATTAGCCTCTATCGTTCAATCTTTGGTTCTGTTTCCCAGGAGGCTACAGGACTCTGCTGGCGCTGTGGCCTTCTGGGACCGATAACTCTGCACATGACTTTTACCTCAGAGGATGTTTATATATTCCAGAACTTAGTGGTGTCACTATCAGAATCAAAATGGATATGGTATCTGAGGCTGCGGTCACATGGAGCAGTAGCCACGCTACAGAGACGGAAGATAGGTGGATTTTCCGGGCGCGATCACAGCGTCACATCTGGGAAGCGTAGAGCTCCCGTGGCGAACCCGAGGCTTCCCGCCGAAGATGCGGGGTAAAAAACTAGTACCTCCGAGGTACTAGTTTCCAGAAACCGCGGGGCAAGGG